TCTGATAAGGGTTTTTTTTGTAACACATTAAAAAACGAATGCTCAAATTAAGATAATTTGCGGAGAATGGTTTTTTTCAGTCCAAACTCCACAGCAAAGTGCAGTTTATGCAGTTTATGTTATGAAAATACCAAATTAGGAGTTATTGTTACGATTTAATGCTGAAATGGGTCTTTGCTTAGGTGTCAATTTCTTTGTTTATGTGTCAATTTATTGTTTACGTGTCTACCAAATAATATGCAGTTTTAGTTTAATAGTTGATAGAGTCCAAGTTTGTTACTTAGTGGAGATACAGTTCTTTGTTTTTAGAGATAAGAGTACTTTCTTGTTACAAGATCGTGTAGTCATCGTGTCCTTGCATTGTGCAATCTGTTGCTCTACATTTTCTATTTAAATGGTCACAGATCAGTTGAATAAACATCTTCAATTTCATCTTTTCTGTTGCACACCAAGTATTTGATTATCTGCCTCTTAGAAATTTCATTTACTCTAACCCCTGTTTTTATCATTTGGTATCAGAGCCAGGTTCCTTTTTCAATTGCCTTCAAAAGAAATGGCCACAAACAATAATTTGGGAAGTGATTCGCAGCCAACCATTCCACTCTTTAAGGGAAGTGGATATGAAATTTGGAGTACTAAAATGAAGACTTTATTTATGTCCCAAGACTTATGACTTGGTAGAGAGGGGTTACACAAAAGTTGCACTCTCAGCAGAGGCACTCGAGGACACAAAGAAGAAGGATGCTAAGGCGTTGTTTTTCATCCAGCAGGGAGTGGATGATACTATCTTTCCACACATCTCAGCAGCAACAAAGTCAAAAGATGCATGGGACACCTTGCAGAGAGGATACTAAGGTGTTTACAGTGAAATTATAGATAGTTCGTAGAAGGTATAAAGGTATGGTCATGAAAGAAGGTGAGAACTTATCTGATTTCTTTACCCAAATGATAGAAATTGTCAATCAAATGAGAAATATGGTGATGATGTGCCCGAGCAAAAGGTGGTTGAAAAAATTCTTAGAAGCTTGCCTAAGAAATATGACCATATTATGGTTGCCATAGAAGAGTCAAAGGATTTAGCTGTGTTAACAACAGATGAGCTGCTCAGTTCTCTTTTTTCTCATGAAGACAGGATGAAGAGGTACAAGGATCCTATGGAGAATGCTTTCTACAGCAAGCTACAACTGCCCAAAAACAAATATGGAGGGAGCTCTTCAGAGTTTAGTAACAGCGGTGGATTCAATAGAGGACAAGGTGCAATCCGAGGTGGAAGAAGAGGTCGTGGAGGTCGATTTGGCAGCATTAGGCATCAACAGAGAGCCAATGAAAGAAGTGACTACCAGAGTTCAATTTAGTGCTTTGTTTGTAAGAGGTATGGCCATATTGCTAAAGATTGTAGAATTAAAGATAAGCAAGCCAATTTTGCACAAGAAAAGGATGATGAAACTGAAAGCTTATTTCTTGCTTGCTACACTGCTAAAGAAAGTGTTCCAGATGTTTGGTATGTGGACAGTGGCTATAGCAATCACATGACAGGAAACATTAATCTCTTCATCAACCTGGACAAGTCAGTGAACAAAAAGATAACCATAGGTGATGGTACCATACGAGAAGCACAAGGAAAAGGTACGGTTAAATTGGATGAATAGGGCAAGAATTGTATTGAAGATGTTTTGTTCGTACCTCATTTGGATTCTAATTTGCTAAGTGTGGGTCAGTTTATGATGGATGGATATTCACTTGTTTTGAAAATATGGCTTGCTATGTTTACAAAGATGGAACTAAAAAGGAGCTTTTAATTAAAGTTCCAATGGCAAAAAAAAAGTGTTTTCCTTTAACTCTTGATTGTGAGTCTGCATTGAATGTCACTTTGCATGATGACAATTGGTTGTGGCATCATGGATATGGGCACTTGAATTTCCAGGGGTTGGTACTTTTGTCAAAACAAAATTTAGTGCATGGTTTGCCTATCATTGAACAAGTTGATGGTGTGTGTGAAAGCTATGTTTATGGTAAATAGCATCGAGATGCTTTTCCCAAAGGAAAGGCGAGAAGAGCTTTGAAACCTGTTGAGTTGATACATGCAGATGTTTACGGGCCAATGAATACTTTGTCTCTCAACAAAAGCAAGTATTTTATTGTCTTTGTTGATGATTTTAGTAGACTGACATGGGTTTACTTTGCCAAAGAAAAGTCAGATGCCTTCCCAATCTTTAAAAAATTCAAAGCTCTTGTTGAAAAACAAAGTGGATGTTCAATCAAAGTTATGCGGATAGATCAAGGTAGGGAATTTGTTTCAGCTGAATTTAACATATTTTGTGAAGATTTCGACATCAAAAGGCAGTTGACAACAAGCTATACCCCTCAACAAAATAGGGTAGCCGAAAGGAAAAATAGAAGCCTTGTGGAGATGGCAAAAAGCATGCTGAAAGCTAAAGGTCTTCCAAACAGTTTCTGGGCAGAAGCAATCCACACTGTAGCTTATATTCAGAATCACAATCTCACAGCAGCTTTGCATCATCAAACTCTTTTCGAAGCTTGGCATGGCTAGAAGCCCAAGGTAACTCACTTTAAAGTTTTCGGGTGTCTAGCTTATGTTCATGTTCCATCTCAAAAAAGGACAAAATTTGAGGAAAACAGTGTGAAGTGCATTTTCTTGGTTATAGTGATGAAACTAAAGGTTATAGATTTTATGATCCTATCACCAAGAAGTTACTAATCAGTCATGATGTGATTTTTGATGAGAAAAATTCATGGAATTGGAATGAAAAGAAAAGTCCAGGTTCTGTGGTGGTTGATGGCATTTTGGAGGATGATCCAGTCATGACTGAAGGTGAAATGGGTGAAAGTCAAATTTCCTCTACACCTAACAATGGTAGTAGATCGTGTCCATCCTCACCTGAGACACCTCCACCCCCAAGGAAGGCAAGGAGAGTAAAATCCTTGGTGGAACTCTATGAACAAACTCAAAGGTGTCAAATGGCACATGTGGAGGAGCCTAGCTGTTTTGAGGAAGCAACGTAGAACAGAAAATGGTGCAAAGCTATGGATGAGGAAATAGAGGCCTTGGAAAGAAATCAAACATGGGAGCTTGTGGACTTGCCTAAAGACAACAAAGTTGTAAGTCTAAAGTGGGTATACAAGACCAAGTACAATTCTGATGAGTCAATTCATAAACACAAGGCTAGATTGGTTGCTAGAGGTTACATGTAGCAAGAAGGTGTGGATTTTGATGAGACGTTTGCACCAGTTGCCAAGTTTAATACTATTCAAACTGTTTAACTTTAGCTGCTTAATATAAATGGTCTGTTTTTCAATTTGATGTGAAGTCAGCCTTTTTGAATGGATTCTTGGAGGAAGATGTGTATGTACAACAAACCCAGGGTTATGAAATTGAAGGACAAGAGCAGAAAGTGTACAAGTTGAAGAAAGCACTCTATGGTCTGAAGCAAGCACCATGGGCTTGGTATGAAAGAATTAATGCTCATTTTTGTAGCCATGGGTTTCATAAAAGTCCAAGTGAGCCTACTTTGTATGTCTGGACCAGAGGTGGAGATGAGGTACTATTAGTGTGTCTTTACGTTGATGATTTAATATACACTAGCAATAGCTCTTTTTTGTTGAAAGAATTTAGAAGAATGATGGTTAATGAGTTTGACATGATTGACTTGGGTTTAATGAGATATTTTTTGGGGCTGGAAGTGGTTCAGAATGACAAGGGAATTTTTATTTCCCAAGAGAAATATGCTAAAGATCTTCTTAAGAAATATAGGTTAGAAGACTGCAACTCAGTGAGCACTCCAATGGTTTCTAATCAGAAGTTCAGTTTGAATGATGGAGAAGAAAAGGTTGATGTTCATGCCTATCGTAGCCTTATTGGGAGTCTTCTTTATCTCACAAACAACAGGCTTGATATTGCTTTTGCCACTAGTGTGCTATCTCGTTTTATGTAGAGTCCAAGCAAGACACATTATGGAGCAACGAGGAGGATTCTAAGATACTTGAAGGGGACAATCTCTTTTAGCATTTTATATGGCAAAAATGACCAATTTAATTTATTTGGGTACTCTGACAATGATTGGGCAAGTTGTGTTGATGACCGACGTAGTACTTCAAGTTATGCTTTTTTTTTTTGGGTCCAGTGCTATCTCTTGGAGTTCAAAGAAGCAAGCCTTTACAGCTTTGTCATCTTCAGAAGTAGAATATATCTCCTTAATAGCAGCAGTGTGTCAAGCCACATGGACAAGAAGAACTCTAGAGGATATGAAGCAATTACAAGTGCAGCCAACAACAATTTTTTGTGACAATCAATCAACCATTGCAATGACAAAAAATCCAATATTCCATAGTCGAACTCGTCATATTGAAACTCGGCATCATTTCATAAGAGAGTTGGTGGCGAGTGGAAGCTTGGAAGTTGTTGATTGCAACTCAAAGGATCAAGTTGCTAACATCTTCACGAAACCACTTCCTTTGGATAAATTTATCCATTTAAGGGATTTGCTTGGAGTTTTAAATTTCAGCATTAAGGGGGAGTATGTTACGATATAATGTTGCAATGGGTCTTTGCTTAGGTGTCAATTTCTTTGTTTATGTGTCTACCAAATAATATGCAGTTTTAGTTTAATAGTTGACAGAGTCCAAGTTTGTTACTTAGTGGAGAATAGTTCCTTATTTTTAGAGATAAGAGTACTTTCTTGTTACCAGATCGTGTAGTCATCGTGTCCTTGTATTGTGCAATCTGTTGCTCTACATTTTCTATTTAAATGGGCACAGATCAGTTGAATAAACATCTCAATTTCATCTTTTCTGTTGCACACCAAGTATTTGATTATTTGCCTCTTAGAAATTTCATTT